TGGCTAAGGATGTTGAGCATTTCCTTAAGTGTCTTTCAGCCATTTTAGATTCATCTGGATTTGTTCTTCTGATGAGCAATTTCTTGAGTTCTTTTTATGTTTTGGAGATTAGCCCTTTGTATGATGTGGGGTTGGTGAAAATCTTTTCCTATTCTATAGTCTGTGTCTTTTGCTTTACAGAAACTTCTCAGTTTCAGGAGGTCCCAATTATTAATTATTTCTCTCAGTGTAGATACAAGCTCTGTGTATTCTGCATTGTGTGTGTTCTATGTGACTGGGGTTATATTTAGGAAGTGGTCTCCTGGGACAATTCAGTCAAATGTGCTTCCCACTTTCTCTTCTATGAGGTTCAGTGTGGTTGTTTTATGTTGAGGCCTTTGATTCATTTGGATTTGAGGTTGGTGTATGACGATAGATAAGGATCTATTTTCATTCTTCTACATGTTGATATCCAAGTATGCCAGCACAATTTGTTGAATATGCTTTCTTCTTTCCATATTTTTTGCTTCTTTGTCAAAAATCAGGTGTTCATAGGTGTGTGGATTAATATCTGGGTCTTCAATTCAGTTCCATTGGTCCTCCTGTTTATTCTTATACTAATACCAGTCTGGTTTCAGTACTGTGGCTCTGTAATAGAGCTTGAAGTCAGGGATTGTGATGCCTCCAGAAGTTCCTTTATTGTATAGGATTGTTTCGGCTATCCTGGTTTTTGTTTGTTTGTTTTCTATATGAAGTTGAGTATTATTCTTTCAAGGTCTATGAAGAATTTGGAGCAAGAGCTCTTAAGCACTGATCGTCTCCCTCCTCCAGTATCTTTTAAAATAAATCTATCCATATTTTAATTCATTTAATTATTTTCAGAGGTCCTCTGTGTGTTCTGTATGTGGGTCCATTGTGGATACAAGCTCTGTGTGTTCTGTACATGTATCCTCTTGTGGATACAAGTTCTGTGTATTCAGCATGTGTGTCCTCTTGTGAGTACAAGCTCTGTGTGTTCTCTATGTGTGTCCTCTTGCGGATACAAGATTTGCAAATGCTTTTCCTATTGGCAGCTTGTCTCATTCTCTTCACTCTGTCTTTCAGAGAACAGGCCAGGTCAATTTTTGTTTTCTAGCATACTGTTGGTATCATATTTTAAAATCTTAAACTCGAGGTCGTCACATACTATGCCTTTCTTGAGCTTTTATAGTCTTAGGTTTCACATCTGATCCATTTTGATTAGATTTCATGGTGTTGAATTTTTAAACACCAACAGCAGACTAGAGCAGGTGCGTGTGCATTGACTCAGAGACTGATCTGTCTCTGGGGCTTTTCTGACTTCTCTCTTCACCACACCCAGCTCCAGAGGAGGCAGGAGAGGGGCTGGGGATGGAAGAGGATGTCAATCCTCTACTTGGTCTTAGTAACAAATAAATAATAAATAATTTGTAAATAATAAATCACCTCTATCCACAACTCTACATCACATCGGATTCTACGTGGACTCAGGGTAGTCATTGCCGCATCTGGTTTTGCAAAGTACTAGGTGCCCTAAGGCAGTGGCTCCCAACCTATAGGTCACAACCCCCTTGGCAAAACTCTATCTTGTAAAAAAAAATATTTGTACTGCAATTCCTAACAGTAGCAAAATTACAGTTAGGAAGTAGCAACGAAAATAATTTTATGGTTGGTTAGGGGAGAGGGTCACCAAAACATGAGGAACTGTATTGAAGGGTCGCAGCAGCAGGGAGGTTGAGAACCCCTGTCCTGGGGTCTGCTGCCGTGAGAAAAGCAAAAATGGGCTTAGGAGGGGTTTCTGCTTTACTGAGGGAGGGAAATCTGGGACAATCTAAGTTCTGCAGCCCTCAAGCCCTGCCTCCTGAACCCCCAGCAAAGGGAAGAGCTGAGAATCAGCAGCAGGATTTGGAAAAAGCTCGCAGCCTGAGGTTTGCCAGAGCTGAGCACTTTGGACAATAAGCAATCATTCGTAGTATTCTCTCTGGGGACTGGATGGCCCTGGCTTGTGCTCCTGTGACAATCATTAAAGCTTCTGAGGTACGAACTCCACAGAGAGAATTCCCATCCAGACCCTCAAATGCTAACCCAGCCAACTCTGAGTGAGATTAAGTGCACATACTATCATTTACAGTTAACTGGATTTGAGTAAAGGTAATCGAGCCATGTAAAAGAACATAGAACAAAAGACATGGGTTAATTTAAGTTATTAAGAGCTAGCTACAAGCAAACCTAAACTCTTGGCCCATCCTTATAATTAATAAGTCTCTATGTGGTTATTGGTGAGCTGACTGGTGGACAGAAAAACTTGCCTATAGGCATCCTCCTGCCTCTGCTTCTGCCTCCCAAGTGCTGGGATTAAAGGTGTGCGCCACTGAGTCTGGCTCACTTAATTGTCTTTAAAGGAAGAAAACGTTTATAAAATCATAGCTGACACTCTGCAAGCTACGTCTCTGTGCTTCCATCTCCTCCCCTGGAACTCGCAGCAGGCCTCCCGAGTGACAGTGATTGATGGTAAATGACTGACAGGGAACCGCAGGTGACGGGTAGGATGGCCACCGTGTGGTGCACGTTAGCTTTGCCCTCACCTAGACGGCTTTGTGAAGGGAAGTCTATCCATTCAGGAACACAGCTGAGGTTGCAAATGAGAAATGTCCTGGATAACTAGATAAAACGGATGGAGCGTTGCTTTACAGAGCCCCCAAGAAATGAAAAGGCTCTGGGGGTCACAAGCTTCCTCTGTGACTTGAGCAATTACTTTGGGTCTCCTGAATGGGAGTCTCCATGGGACCTCAGAGTTGCCTTCCACTCCAACATGACATGAAAGTTCTAAGTCACACAGTCCCTTTGAGGCCCAAAGAATGACCCCTGGGTTACTCAGAGCTCCCTCAACACGCCATGAACCCCCTTGCCTCATGAACCAGCCCAGCTTCCCAGGGCACCATCGGGCACTCAGCAGTAGAGGGGCAGTGCCCTAAAAGGAAGGAAGAAGCCAGAGTATAGGCCACAGAGAACAACATCTCTGGGGGTCTCTTCAAGGGGCTCCTAAATGGGTCACAAGAGCCCCACCCTAAATTGAGGGCAAGTCCCAGGAATCAGGTCTCTAGTGAGAGAAACGTGGAACCCCTTGGCACCAAAGCTCCGAAATCACTCTGGTAAACAAGTAAACGAAAAGCTCGCAGGGCTCCAGGCAGAGCGTGGCCAGTATCAGAGTTCTACAATACCAAAAATTACTGTATTTGCAACAAAGAGATCATGAAGGATTATTTTGAAAACAACTCCCTCCGTGAAGAATTGTGTTGGGATTTTGATGGGGATTGCATTGAATCTATAGATTGCTTTTGGTAGGATTGCCATTTTTACTATGTTGATCCACAAGGATGACCCCAGCTAAAACCCTAAGCAATAGAGGAGAGGGTGCCAGAACTGGCCTTGCCCTGTAGTCAGACTGATGATTATCTTAAATATCACCATAGAACCTTCATCCAGCAACTGACGGAAACAGAGGCAGAGATCCACATTGGAGCACTGGACTGAGCTTCCAGGGTGCAGCTGAAGAGTGGAAGAAATAAGAATGTGAGCAAAGAGGTCAAGACCATAATGGGTTCACTCACTGAAACACTCTACCTGAGCTAGTGGGAACTCACCAACTCCAGCTGGACAAGGAAGGGACAAGCATAGGTCCAAACTAGTCCCTCTGAATGTGGTTGACAGTTGTGTGGCTGGGGCAGACTGAGGGGCCACTGGCAGTGGCACTGGGATTTATCTCTACTGCATGTACTGGCTTTTTGGGATCCTAGTCTCTAATCAGAACTCTTCCCCAGGATTTTGTCAAAGCTGCCTCATTCTTTATCTGAGAGGACATGTGCTCGAGCCTGCCTGCAGAATGGTTCTCACTGTGTAAAGAAAAGCTTAGTAAGAAACAACTAAAAAAAGAAATCAAAGAAGCAGATCCAAAAGGGAACGGGCAAGAGACACCTGGCGGAGCTTGCAGCCTCAAATGCTGCCTCCACTTCTGGCCTTCTGCCATTTGGTTTTGGAGGCTGCCAGAGAACGTTGCTTAATACAGCATTACTGCCCAGGTGTGGGTATCACTTGCCCATTGGGAAGTGGGTGACTCCCTGTGTGTTTGCTCAAGTCCCTTGACTTTTGCCCTCTAGTATCTTACAGCAGGAGTGGGCTGGGGCCACCTGGGACCACCCCTGACCTCAAACATAAGCCTGAATCAGTAGCACCTGCTCTGGATGTCCATGGAGGTTTTTGTTTGCTTTGCTAAAAGGTGTGTGTGTGTGCGCGCGCGCACGCGTGTGATGGGCACTGTTTTGCTGTGAGCTCACTCTGGATTCTGGGTGTGAGAATGTTCTCCTCGTTCTTGTCTTCTTTCTAGAGTTTCCTAGAGGGTGCCCTGTGCTGTACACAGGGCCCTGGACTTAGAGGAATCTATGTGCTTGGCTTAATGCTATGTTGTCAGCATTTTGAAATTCATGGTCCTTTAGAACAAGAGACCCTATATTTTTATTGTGCACAAGACCCCACAAATTACATACCTGATGCTGGCTCCTTGCAGCCCCTTGTGGTGGGATTTGTGATGCCAGTGAACTCTCCAACTCCCTAAATCCCCTGCCCTCTTCTGGTATCTTCCTTATTCTTCAACATACTTTCCCCTCCCTAAGATCTCCTTTCCTTCCACCCCCATAGGAGACTTTTCTCCCGGAGGACGCCAGTCCTTGTGACCTCATCCAAACCACCCATGGCAGACAACAGCTGTTTTACTGTGCTCCATCTGACTTTACATCAAACCAGAGCTGGGATTCACTTTATTTAGAACAAAGCCAAAAGCAGCAGCTTTCCTTTTTTCTCCTACTCAACACTTAAATTCTGTGATTTGACCTCAAATCTCCCTCCAGATGGAGCCTCCAGGGGAAAGTGCAGCCTGGGCCTCTCTGTAGGGAGATACTGGAAACTCCCTCTGCTTTTGGGCTGAACAGAAAAAGCCAAGCACCGGAGACTCTGCCGTGGATCTCGAATGGAGATCGGGGTCCAGCAAACTGATGGGCAGCCTGTGGTCGTGGGAACCGCCTGCCCCTCAACTGGTGAAGGCATCTGCTTGTGTGGTTCTAGCTACTCCTGGGGAAAAGGTGGGCTCTGGCCCTCACATCTTCCCCCAAGGGAGGGAGAACACTGGATGGCAACTGTCAAAGCTGGACATTATCCAAGACTTCTCGCCCATCCTGTTCAACTTGAATTTAAAAAAAAAAAAAAAAAAAGAAGTGGAGGAGAGAGGAGCTGACCAGAGAAACGAATGTACAGTTGACAGTAGAGTCCAGGTGTGGCGAAGGAGTTTATTTCTGGAGCGTGATAACAGCTATGCAATTAGGGACGGTCCTTGTGTGCGTCTCACCTGTGTATTTGTGTCGCAAAGACATACTAAGACTTCGGAAAATTTCCAAATACTTGTGTTGGGGTTCCCCCCACACACACTTTTTTCTCCCCTTGTACCTGTTTTAACCACAGTCAACCAAACAAAATAGCTTTACAGTCTACTAAAACTCAGAAGTTGTCCTCAGAGGAAGCAGGTAAATATTTCCAACTGTAAATTTGCATTGATAAGCAGCAGGAAACAGGGCCCGGGAACCGAACAGCGGCTCTAACACTGGTGAACCTGTCTTGTGGAAAGGAAATACACATGCGCACACATGCGCGCGCGCACACACACACACACGGAGAAAAAGTCTAGATGACCTAGAAAGAGTAGACCCTCTTCAGGACAAGGGCCTCAAAAGTCAAAAGTATCACTTGAGAGCAGAGTCAGCTTTGAAAAGGGGCGAGGAACAGATCTACAAGAAGCCATGCTAAGAATGTGGTTTTAATAGAGGGAGACCTTGCAGGAAGCCGCATGGCTGCCCTGGTACCAAGGAGTCGTGTTTACCATAAACCCCGCAACAGCATTCTCCATGAGGCGTATCTTTGCTGTGCCCACAACAAGGCGACCTCTTTAAAAAGTGGCAATTCCCCAGTGCACCAACCACACTGCAGGGACTCGGAAGCATTGGCAGACATATTCCATTGGCAGGCTCTTCCTAATCTCCCTGGCAAGCTGAAATAGCATGAACAACCTGGCAGGCTACCCTTGTAACCGGAATATGTGGGTGCTGCCTAGAGAGGCCGGGATCCCTAAGAATGCTGGGTCCATGCCCCGCATCGCTGTCTCCTCTCGTGTCCCCTGCAAATGGATGAGTTTCGTCTCCCCGAAACTCAGAGCCAGAGTTGTGTAGAAGACGCAGCCAAATAAAAGTTACGATAACCTCCACCAGAACCCAACTCTGTGCCACTACTGCTGGAGGCTGCTGTGTTGTTGGAGTGGCAGGTAGACTGAACTCTTAATTCCGAAATATGTGATTTACAAGTTTGCTTTGTAGATTCACCACAATGGAAGGCTGACTTAAAAAAAACGAGCCGTGTGTGGTGGCGCACGCCTTTGATCCCAGCACTCAGGAGGCAGAGTCTGATAGACAAAGTGAGTTCTTAGACAACCAGGGCTATGCAGAGAAGCCCTATCTTGAAAAACAAGCAAACGAAACAGTCTGATTCTTGAGCAAGGCTGTGTGTGTGTGTGTGTGTGTGTGTGTGTTATTGCATGTACAAATGGCGCAAAAGACAGGTGAAAAGACCCTTAGAATCAAGTACTGTTGGGACACTCACAACACCTCACAGCCCCCACAGTAAAAATGTACAGAAGCCTGGGTTCCCTTATGAGTGAGCTTACCAATGGTGGTATGAAAACCCCAGGCATCAACCCCTTCCTTCCCATATCACATGAATACATTTTTAAACATTATTTGATACCACAAAAGTCACGATTGTCTATGAGTCTTTTTCAAACTTTCAACCAGGACCCACATTCTCATGGCTTCCTAGAGTCTTAAACACACACACACACAGACACACACGCTCTTACACAGCAAGAGTTTGGATCAAACTCAGCTCGATTAACTGGGCGTCCTTTTTGATTTGCGGTGATGGCCCACTGAAACATTTCGTGGTTGGCACTCAGAGCCAGACACGGATGTGTTCTGAACATATCAGAAATCGTCTGTCCACTCAGCAGGCCCAGGGAGCAACACCGAGATCCCCATGGGTATCCACCACCGAGGATGAGAAGGAAGTCTCCTGCTGACGGGGTCCAAAAACAGTGACTTAGATCCAGGTTGGCAACCGTCTTGTATCCCACAATTCAAGTTGCAAGTCAAGACTCTTTGCAGTGTTGTGAACCTGTCCCTTAAGGGTCCCCCAACCTCTCACCAGGCCCTTGGGATCTCTGCCGGAGGGTGAGCAGAGCCAGATCGGAGAGGGCAGAATCCGAGGCCATCCCCCGATCCTCTTGATCAGCTGGGAAGACACTGCAGAAAGCAGTGCGTGCTCCCCCACCATTGACTGCTGGCTGCGCGGATCCCGAAGGTTCTCTAAAGGTGTCCTCACCCCAAGCAGACTCGGCCCAGGCCGAGTGACCCAGATAAAGGTAGGAGCTGGGCAAGAGGGTCCATGGATCTTCCAGAGGTCTGCGCTGGGGAGGCAAATCACTGTGCATGTCCCTGGAAAGGCGTCGATCTGGCGGTTGGACCTGAGGGCAGTTTGGGGACCCAGAATCACCCGAGGAGAGCGCTCTGTTCGGAGTCCGGAGGCATGGCAGACCCGGCGACCTTGGTGTGGCAGTGCTGCCTGCGCGAGGAGTTGTCAAGGCCCAGGACGTGGGCATCCAGTCGGGCTCAAGCGTCCTGGACGCGACGCCGCCGCTAGTCGGGGTTTCGCTGAAGGTCAGCCGCGAGAGGCTCCTGCTCAGGGAGGCCAGGGTCGCGGGCTGCGGTGGCGGTGGGAGGCTGTGTGCACTGGGCTCCCGGAGAAGCGGCCTGGCTGCAGCGGGGCTGCTCCGGACGCTCAGTGGCCGCTGCTCCTCGGCGCCACCGCCCGGCCAAGTCCGCGTCTTGGCGCGGAGTTCGTCGGCCACAGGCAGTTGCGCGTGGTGTGGCCTCTCCGGATGGTAGAATCTGCACTTGACCCCATAGGTGCATTTCTTGCCTAGAAGGGATGCAGGGTAGAGAGGGCGCGAGATGAGACCTGGGATGAGCAGAGGCTTCCAATACCTGGCCAAATACCCTTCCCCAGGCCGCTGCCTCCCCTGCCTTCCGCTCCGTGAAAAGACCACAGATTTGGAAGGTGACCCAGGTGGCAAGGGTTCTAGGATGGATAGGAGAGCGTGCTCAGAGTTCCAGAACCCCCAAGGCCAGCAGAGTAAGTCTCCATCCAGGCACTTCCTTTAAGCAGAGTCTGAAGCCAAAAGAGTCAGGTCACCCTCAGTCTCCTCTGCCCCAGAGACAAGGCTGACCTTCGTGATGGAGCCCGCAATAGAGATGCTGATGGTACAAGATCATGTCTCCAGCAATGCCTGTTTTCACTAATGGCCACATCCAACCCTGCCTAACCATTGCCTTCTCTCTATACCTGTTCTAACCGGGGTGAACAAACGACCAAATAATTGACCATTTAAAACCCAACACTTCACAGAGTGAACCTTGACACTCTGGGCCAGCCTGAAGGACAGTTGCGTTAATTCTAACGAGAAGTGATTTCGAATGTCACCCGCGTCTTAATGAACTTCTTTAAGCACAAAGGCCAGGAGCCTTAAAATAACTTAACAAAGCAAGTTAATCAAAGAACTAGGTAGACCGCTAGGATGAAACCCTCAACTCTGGACCGATAGCATGGACCAAGTTGGTGAGGTTGGAGGTGGAGGGGGCAGGATGGGAAGGGCTGAGAACAAGAGCTGGGGCACGCATGGTCTGCCCCTCCCCCTGCAAGTGTGGCTCTACCTCCAGCCTTCATGGCTATCCGTTCATCCTTAGAGCTGTTGGCAAGCTACCATCCAGAAATGCTAGGCTTCTCACCAGGGGCAGGTAACTGGTTGAAGGCAGAGCTTGCTTGGGCAGGAACCCAAGTTGCTGTCCTCCAGGCTAGGGCTTCCCACTGTACCCCTATGCAATCTGTACCAATTCCAAGACAAACACACAACGCCTGGCTGCTACCCACCATAGGGACAGTGCTGCCAGGATGGCTCTGGGGGCCTTGGCTTCTTGCTTAGGAAATTGCTCAGGGTTGGTCCACGACGGCCCAGGGGGTCATCAGGAGGCATGAACCTGAAAAATAACCGTAGAGCGGTCACTTCAAGAGTGAATGGGACTTCCTGACCACTGGAACCTATGTGGGGGCTCCGGAGAGGAGGCCTTAGCCTTCCAGAGAATACCAGATGGTGTGGACCATGTCCTCAAAAAGATTCACGTACCACAGCAACAACCCTCCCTTCACACCAGCCCTCCCAGTGTGGTACTGGCAGCAGGTTCAGAATCACCTCAGAGCTCCTTACATAAATGCAGTCCGAAGCTTTGCACTGCCCCGTTAGGGAGAATTGGAGTGTGTGTTGCCGTTGTTGTGTTTTAGGAATCTAAATATTAACAACTTCCTAGGTGTTTTTTATGCAGGATGAGAAAAGCTTAACCGCTAGGACTTCCCACCTCACAAAAGCCTAACAAAGTTCATTCCTAAACAGACAGTTCCCAGGAGGCTTGGGAACTGTGTGGACACCTTGGAGGCTTAGGTCTTGTGATGTTCATCTGAACTGTCAGTTTGATGATAATAACCCGGGGGATGGCCCCTGGGCATGCCTGTGAGAGGGTATCTCTATCAGGCTAAATGAGGTGGGAAGATGTACCCCTTGTAGGCAGCGCCATTCCCTAAGCTGGGATCCTCGACTGTATAAAGAGAGGACAAGGTGGACTGAGCCTATGCAGTCACGGCTCTGCTCCTCGACTGCAGAAGCTGCCTCAGGTTCCTGCCGCTGTGACTTGCTCACTATGAAGGGTTGTAACCCAGGAATCAAAATATGCCCGTAAGTTGTTTTTATCAGGCAGGGTATTTTATCAAAGCAACAGACCAAGAAACCCCTTCCACCCACTCGCCTTACACCAGGCCTCTCAACTCTGGCATATGCAAATGAAGGGTCCATATTGACCATCTAAAACACCAGCAGGTAAGCCGAATGAGGCACAGACCTCTGCACACAGCACCTCTGCCAGGCTCAGCCCTGCCCTTTGCAAATTCTGGATATGAAGGAACCTCTGTGCTTGGCCTCAGCTTCTGGGGTTGTCCTGCCTCGGCACACATGGTCCTCTGATGCCCGTCTGGCTCCTGCCTGCTCCTCCTCTCTGGCAAAGAGCCTCATCACAGAAGTGGATGGGTGTTCCAGATGTTTGGGGCAGAAAAAGAAATGCGGCAAAAGCTGGGCATTAGTCACTGTAACCCCACTCTCGGGGAGGCTGAAGCAGGAGGATCTCAAGTTCAAGCCAGCCTGAGTAACTTAGTGAGACCCTAACTCAATCAAATTTACAAAAGGGGGACCTTTGATAGGGTACTTGCCAAGTATATGCACAAAGCCTTGGGTCCAGCACCACAAAAACAAAATGCTTCTGAAAGTAAGTAAATAAAAACCAAAAATCCTTCCATTTACTAAGATCCTGTATTTCCTATCAATCTTTTTGTTCCTAGGAGCCCCTTTCCATTCATACAAAAGTTCTAGGGGAGGGTTAAAAAGGGAGAAGGTCTGTCTTTGCCATCGCTATCGCCCACAAGTTGAGCGAGTCCCACCCTGCAGAGAGCTGAGTGATCCCTGACCCAGTGCGGACTCCAGGGCTCAGCTCCAGCCACACAGCTGGCTTCTTCTCAGAGTTGGGATCTGGCCAAGAATCTGAGGAGCTGCCCACTGCAGTTATTAAAAGTTCTCAAAGGCATTACCTCCCCCCCCCCTCTCTTGGGAGCAAAGAGTTGTGCCAAGAGGGCCCTGTGGACATACCCAGGGCACTGAGGCAAGCGCCCTCACTCACAGGCAGTCAGGCCCTGCCTTCTGACCTGACCCTCCACCCCCTTAGCAGAGAGGGCCAAGCATTAGAAGGACTTGGCCAGGGCCTCTGGTTGTCACCGGGCCAGAGGCAGCCATGACCTGTCAACCCACAGCGAGGATTTCTAGCTTGACAGATTCATCTAGACCAAAGCTGAACAGAGGAAACCCATGAGATGGGAAAGACCGTGGGGGTTACTGCAGGGCAGTTGTTGAAGCATCTGTCCTGAGACTCAAAAGGGCATCTCTTCTTGGGTTCAGGATCAGGTGGCAGTGCAGGGTGGAGGCATGTCCAGACCTGTCCCCTGGAATAACTGCAACTCCTTTTAGGATACAGTTTTCTGTAATCATCACACCACTTCAGCAGGGCCTCTGAGGAAACCACTGTGCATGGTCCAAAGCCTTAGCTCTTCCCCTGCCCTGCACCACCTCTCTCGGCCTTTGGGGTCAGCCTCTGCCCTTTGCCTGGCCCATAGTGATGCGTTCATTCCTTCATGGACTCCTCCACCTCCGTGTCAGTAGTAAGTGTGTGTCTCCCATGTGCCAAGCATGCTGGGAACATGGCAACTCGGTGGGCAATCTGGGTTATTATGGAGTCAGAGAGTTTGCTCAAACCACGTGCCAGAAAGCCAGTCAGAGGTCCCAGAGCAAGAGTTGATGGACTGTCGCCTAGGAGAGCTGGGGCTGTAGTCCAGATGGTAGAATCTACGTGTAGGATAGAAGCCCTGCATTGGTTCGATCCTCAGCATGGAATAAACTGGGCATGGTGCCTACGTCTGTAATTGTGATACTCGGAAGATGGAGGCAGGAGGACCAGAAGTTCAAGGTGATCCTTCACTACTTGAGTTTGAAGCCAGCCTGGGATGTAGAAGAGTGTCTCGATCAGTATTCTTTAAAGTTTATTTGTATTATTTTTAATCATGTGTAGGTATATATGTCTGCATGTAAGTCTATATATGCGAGTGTAGGTGCGTTTGGAAGCCAGGATACTGGGTTCCCTGGAGCCCGAGTTATAGACGGTTGTGAGCTGTTCGAGATGGGTGCTAGGAACTGAACTCTAGTCTACTGGAAAAGCAGCAAGTGTTCTTAACCCCTGAGTCATCTTCCCAGCCCCAGTCAGCATTTTTAAAAAGACAAAAACTTAAAAGGAAATACAAAATGTTGAAATCCCCCTTCCATGATAGCTTTTTTCTAATTTCAATTTTTAGATTTATTTTTGTTTTATGTATATGGGTGTTTTGTCTCTCTATCTATCTGTGTGTGAGTGTGTGTATGTGTGTGTGTGTGTGTGTGTGTGCCACATGTATGCCTGGTACCTATGGGATCCAAAAATGGGCATCAGATCCCCTAGAACTGCAGTTATGGATGTCTGCGAGCCACCACGTCGGTGCTGGGATTCAAACCTGGGTTCTCTGTGAGAGCTGCAGTGCCCTTGACCACTGAGTTGTTTCCTCAGCCCCGCCTTTCATGATGACTATCTTATGGATTTTACTTGGACAGAAAATGGAGTTTGTGGTGTGCTGAACACACTGGCCCACCTGCTGGACAGCCTCGCAGGGAGTCAGTTCAGTCACAGAATAGAGGGGATATGAGGGACAGAGATGGCCCCTGGCCTGAAGGGGCCTGGTTCCGGCAAGCAGGCTTCAATCCCTTACCTGTCGTTCACAAAGGAGAACATGAGCAGTCGCTGCTCGATGAACCATTTCCACTCCGGGTTTTCGCTCTGCAGGTCCCGGTAGTTGTCGTTGGAGACGATGATGCCATCCTTCTCGTAGGCCACCTTCACAATGTAGCGGTCGTCGTAGCACACGACTCGCTTGCCGTTGACCTTGCGGGACGGGGTGTACACCAACACAGCTTGCCGCTCCAGCTCTTCCAGCACGTGCTGCTCTGAGGCCACAGGTGGAGACTTGAGTCGGGGCTCTATAGAAGGGCGCGCTTCCCAACCCAGGAACGCCCCCAAAGCATCTGCCTCCGTACCGGCTGCAGACAATCAGACCTGGGCAGGTTTGAAGGGACTATTACCGTCTAGTCAGTTTTATCCTATAAAGTCTAGGACAGGTCTCAACTTCACAATCCTCCCCTTTCTGCCTCCTGAGTGTTGGGATTATCGCCTGCACCACCAAGGCTCTTTAATGCCTATAATCCCGGCATTGGGAAGTAGAAGCAGAGGGGCAAGGAGTGCGGGGTTACATGAGCCCCTGCCTCAAACAACACAGTTGGGCAAAAGTGCATAGTACACCTAAACTACTTGCCGAACTCGGTGAACTTCGAGAATGAGGTGCGCCATGCCTGGAAAGTCCCTGCTGCCCATCCCAGTCCAAAAGCCTCACCTCACTTCCCCTTGAGATAATGTGTCATAAAACAGTGTTGACCGTCTCCTTGCTTTTATTTTCACAAGTACACAGAGGAGGATCATTTTCAGAGAGGCTCTGCCTCGGACTTTACCCAACGAACTGTCCCTACCCACACTCATTTACCAGTTTCTTTGCCCGGTTACCGTATGGTGACATAGTCTGGCTGTGCCCACGTTGGCTACTGTCACCAAGTGAGTCTCTGGCATGTACATCCGGGGAACACCCTGGGAGATAGCTCTCTAAAATATTTTGGGGCTTGCCAGGTATAACATAGTCCCTTGGAGGGGTTTATTTTGCATTTATTTCTGGTTATTAAAGGAATTGAGCATCTTTGCCTATTCTTACTGCCCATTTACAGTTTTCTTCTATAAAAGGTTTATTTGTGGTCCTGGAGAAATGGCTCAGAGGTTAAGAGCCCTGGCTGCTCTCCCAGAGGACCCTCGTTCAATCCCAGCACCCGCATGGCAGCTCACAGCTGTCTTTAACGCTAGTTCCAGAGGATCTGACACACTCACACAGACATACATATGTGCATACTTTAAAATAAATCTTTAAGAAAGGCTTATTTATGAAATAGCTCATCTTTCTGTAGGTTCTTGTCCTTGCTTCATTCATTTGGAGATGAACCCCTTCAGCAGCAAAATGTAAGAGATAGGGCTGAGGATGTGACCGGTCTGGCCAAGTGTCTCCCTGTGATACAAGAAGCCTGGGGTTCAGCCCCATCACCCCATAAAATAGGCCTGCAATGCCTGCCCTTAGCCCTGGAAGGAGAAGCAGGCAGGTCAGACGTTTAAGAAGGTAGATCCTGCTACAGTCCAGACTCTTCCCTCTGTTCTCTCAGTTCTGTTTTTGTTTGTTTGCTTGTTTGGCTGGTTGGTTAGTTGGTTTTTGGGTTTTGTTGTTGTTGTTGTTGTTGTTTTGTTTTGTTTCGTTTTGTTTTTGTGGCACTGCTATCTGCTTCTGAGCCAAAGCTCCCAACGTGCCCAATTTTATTCATTACTCTGCACAGGACTGACTGTCCCTTTGTGGTTTATTTTATTTTTGTTTTGTTTTGTTTTTTGAGACAAGGTTTCTCTGTGACTTTGGAGCCTGTCCTGGAACTAGCTCTTGTAGACCAGGCTGGCCTCGAACTCACAGAGATCCGCCTGCCTCTGCCTCCCGAGTGCTGGGATTAAAGGCATGCGCCACCACCGCCTGGCTGTGGTTTATTTTAAAATCCTAAGCCAAGTATGTTGGCACACACAGCACTGGGAGACTGAGGCAGGAGAATCACCATGGTTTTAGGCTATAAAGTGAGTTCCTGGCCAGCTAGGGCCATATAGCAGGACTCTGTCATTACAGATAAATATATAGAGGTCAGAGGACAACCCTTGAAGACGGAAATCAGAGAAAACCGTACTGACTCTACAGTGTGGAGGGAGTCGCAGCCCAGCAAATGCCTGGAAGACCAAGCAGAGGTGGAAACAGCTCTCCCTGGAGGCAGCAAAATGTTCCAGGCAGAGGCAAAGAGCTATTGCTGGGCCCGGGCCTCTTCTCATCCCACCGCTGTCTCTGAGAAAAAGAGGAAGGCATGGCTAGCCAGGAGAACGGCCCCAATGTGCTGTTCTCTGGGAAGAAAGCCCTCGTTGTCCTCCCGTTGGAGTGTGTGGGCCCAGCGGCCTTACTTCCTGTCTGCTTCAAGATGTGGGAGGAAAACTGAATGAATGCCCGGGAAAAACCCTCGTTCTAGGAGAGAAACCCGCGGCACTTAAATTGGCGTTTGTCTGATCAGACTGACTCTGGTGAGAGGCTCAGTGGATAAAGACGCTCGCAGCTAAGCCTGGCATGAGTGCATGCGTGTATACGTGCACTCGTGTGTGTGTGTGTGTGTGTGTGTGTGTGTGTGTGTTGTTGTTGTTGTTGTAAACAACAACAACTGTTTATCTCCCTCACAGCGTCTGACTAGACTAATTGTAGCTTAGAATATCAACTATGTTAAGAATGAAAATGGGGCTGGAGCCATTTCACCTGGTCACTCTCGGGAGCCCCCCCACCTCCATTCCCTAGAGACTCTTCTCCTGGTGCAGACCCAGGGTCCCATCAGGTCTTTCTCACTGACCCTCTCAGCCTTCCCTTCCAGCTCCTCTCCACTCCTCTGTGTCAGTACCAACACAGAGAAACATTTTGTACCAGGGACCCCCAGTGGCACACGGGGCTGGAATGCAAGTGGGCAGTTTTCACTGTCCTTCCTGTCCTCCACTATGGTCTCTCCGGAATCACTACTGATTCTGTAGTCGCCTGGAGACAGGAGTCCCTCTTCCCACACCTTCACTGCCTGGGAACTCCACCTCTTGATGTGCGCCTCAGTGGCTCTGGCTCTGACTTTTCAGTGGAGATTCTGAAAGCCAGAAAGACCTGGGCAGCTGTTCTGCAAACTCTACGAGACCACAGACGGCCTCCTAGACCACTATACTCTGCAAAATTATCAATCACAATTGACTAAGAAAGAAAAACATTTTAAGATTACATACAATTTAAAGCAATTTCTATCTACCAATCTAGATCTATAGAAGAAAAAAAAAGTTCACTCAAAGAGAAGGTTGTCCATACCCAAGAAGATACAAGGAATAAATAATACCAAAAATGCTAATAAAAGGGGAGGAAACACACAATAACAACAATAAAATAAAAAGAACTAATAAGCATTGCTCATTGATACCTCTCAATATTAATGGGCTCAATTCACCAATACAAGCAGATTAGAAAAAACAAGATCCATATTTCTGCTATATCTAAGAAACATCAAGGATAGCCATTATCCCTGGGAAAAAGGATGGGAAAAGGTATTCTAAGCAAATGGACCCAAGAAGCTAGCTGGTGCAGTCATTTTAATATCTGACAAAATAAAATTCAAACCAAAAATTACCAGAATAGATAAGCAGGATACTACATATTCGTTAAAGGAAAATCTATCAAGAGGAAATTGCTATTCTAAACATTTAGTCATTAAACTCAGGGCTCCCAAGTTTATAAAAGAAAGACTACTATAGCTCCAATCACAGATTGACCCTCACAGTGATGGTGAGTAGCTTCAATACCCTACACTTGACAACAGATAGGCCATCCTAATAAAACTAAAGTGTTAAATAGTATCACAAATAAATAAACCTAGAAGATATCTACAGAACATTTCACCGGAACACTAAGGAATGTATTTTCTTTTCATCACTCATAAAATGTTCTCCAAAATTAGTCATATACTAGAACACAAAGAAAGTCTCATCAGATACAAGAAAACTGAAATAACACCCTATATCTTATCTGACCACTACAGATTGAAATTGGACATCAAAAAAACAGAAATAGCAGAAAGTACACAAACTCATGGAAACTGAGTAACTTACTCCTGTGAAAACTGGGTCAAGACAGAAATTGAATGAAAATGAAAACACAGCCCACCCAAACCTATGGGACACAATGAAAGCAGTTCCAGAAGGCAAGTTCATAGACTAAGTTCCTACATAAAACAAAATAAAAGAAGCTGGGCGGTGGTGGTGAACGCCTTTAATCCCAGCTCTCGGGAGGCAAAGACAGGCAGATCTCTGTGAGTTCGAGGCCAGCCTGGTCTACAAGAGCTAGTTCCAGGACAGCTAGGACTGTTACTCAAAGGAAACCTGTCTCAAAAAGAAAGAAAGAAAGAGAAAGAAAGAAAGAAAGAAAGAGAGAGAGAGAGAGAGAGAGAGAGAGAGAGAGAGAGAGAGGAAGGAAGGAAGGAAGGAAGGAAGGAAGGAAGGAAGGAAGGAAGGAAAGAAGGAAGGAAGGAAAAACAAAAACAAAAATCAAACAAACAAACAAAAAACCTGGAGATACCTCATATTAGTAACTTAGTGGCACACCTGAAAGCTCTAGAACAACCAGAAAAAAATAATACACAAAAAGAATAAATGACAAGAAATAAACCTGGGACTGAAATCAATGAAGTAGAAACAAACCACAAAAATACAAAGAATCAATGAAATGGAGACCTGATTCTTTGAGAAAATCAACCATATTGACAAACTCTGAGTCAAACTAACTAAAAGCCACAGAGAGAAGACCCAAATTAATAAAGGTAGAGATGGAAGTGGAGACGTTGCACAGACACAAAAGCAATTCATGTAAGGATGTGCTTTAAAAACCTGTACTCCACCAGGCTGGAAAACCAGAGAGAAATGGATGGATTTCTTGGTATACATTGCCTATCAAAGGTAAATCAAGATCCAACATGCAATTTAAACACACCCACTAGTCAAGTGAAATAGAAACAGCATTTTAAAGTCTCCAAACTTAAAAAAAAAAAAAGCCCAGGGCTAAATGGACACAGCACAGAACTATTTCAGACCTTCAAAGAATAATTAACACTAATACTCCTCAAATTATTCTGCAAAATAGAAACAGAATGGTCATTGCCTAGTTGTTTCTATGAAACAAACTCAAAGCGTTTTCACTAAAATCAGGAATAAGAAAAGGGAGTCCACCTTCTCCATGCCTATTCAGTATAGTATCTGAAGTCCTAGCTAGAGCAATAACAAACCGGAAGGAGATCAGTGGGATGCACATAGGAAAGGAAGAAATTAAAGTATCTTTGTTTGCAGGTGATACGATTTTGTACAAAAATGACCATAAAAATCCCACCAGGAAATTTTCTACAGTTGTTAAACATCTTTAGCAAAGTAGCAGGTTACAAAATTAGCAAAAGAAGTCATTAGTCTTCCTGTATACAAATGACAGACAAATAAAGAAATCAGGGAAACAATAGCCTTTTATAACAGCCTCAAAAAAAATCTTGGGGTAACTAGCTGAACAAGTAAAAAAAAATGTATAATAAAAACGTTTAGATGTTTAAGAAAGAAATTAAAGAAAACATAGAAAGATCTCATGTTTATGGATCAGTAGGATTAATAGTGTAAAAAATGATCATCAAAATCTCAAGACAATTCTTCATGGAAATTAAAAGGATAAGTTTGGAAACACAAAAACCCCAGGGGTAGCTTAAACAACCCTGAATAATAAAAAAAAAAAAAAAAACTGCTAGAGAGACATCACTATCCCCAATCTCAAATTGTACTACAGAGCTATTGTAATAAAATAAGAACAACAAAAACCATGGTATTGTCAATGAAAAGAGACACATTGATCATTGGAACAGCATTAAGGAGACAGGTAAATCCACACTCCTATGCACACTTGATTTTTGACAAAGAAGCCAGAGACATACACACTGGATGAAACTTATGGTGCTGGCCAAACTGGATGGCTGTGTGTACACGAATCCAAATAGATCCATACTTATTACTTTGCATAAAATTCAACTCCAAATGGATTGAGGACCTCAATATAAGGCCAGATACTCTGAATCTGATAGAAGAAAAAGTGGAGAATAACCTTGAATTCATTGGCATAGGAAAAGACCTTCTGAAGAGACTACCATTAGCACAGCACCAAGATCAACAATTAATAAATGGGACCTCATGAAACTGAGAATCTTTGCACAGTAAAGGACACCATCATTAGAACAAAGTGGCATCCCATCGCATAGAAAAAGATCTTTACTAAATACACATTCAGTAGAGGGTTAGTATCTAAAATATATAAAGAACTAAGAAAAAAATTGAACAACAAGAAAACAACCCAATTTAAAAATGGGGTACAGAACATCTTCTCAGAAGATGAAACTCAAATGGCTGAGAAACACTTGAAATGTTAAACATTTTCAGTCAACAGGGAAATGAAAATCGAAACCACTTTCAGATTTGATCTTACACTCTCAAGAATGGCCAGCATCAACAAAATAAATGACAGCTCATGCTGGTGAGGATGTGGGGTCAAGAGAATACTCATCCATTGCTGGTGGGAGTGTCAACTTGTACAGTCACTATGAAAATTCTTGTGGTAGTTCTTCAGGAAGATGGGAATAGATATACCTCAAAATCCAGGCATACCACTCTTGGGCGTCTACCCAAAGGACTCTACATCCTACTACAGAGACACATGCTCAACCATGTTTGTTGATGCTCTGTTCATAATAGCCAGAAATTGGAAACAGCCTATAGACCATCAGCTGACGCAGTGGTTCTCAGCCTTCCTAACACTGCGACCTCCAACCATAAAATTATTTTGTTGCTACTTCGTAGCTGCAATTTTGCTACTGATATGAATTGTGTTGTAAATATCTGATATACAAGATACCTGATATGTGGCCCCTATGAAAGGGTTGCCCGATTTCCCCCCACCTCCGAAAGGGTAGCAACCCACAGGTTGAAAACCACTGAACCGATGAAGAATAGATAAAGAAAACGTGGTACATTTACTCAATAAAATATTATTCATCTGTTAAGAAAAATAAAATTATAAAATCTGCAGGTAAATGGGAAGAGCTAGAAAAAAAATTATCCTGTGTGAGGTAACCCAGACCCAGAAAGACAAACCGTCTGTGTTTTCTCTTATATGTGGATGTTAGCTTTTAAGCTTTCGATATGCATGCTAGTAATCACCGAGGTTCTGTATCCAGTAAGGGGCTAGCAAGGAGAAGAGGACTGGCCAAGGAGGAGGAAGCAGGGTATATTTTTATGAAGACACAAAAGGGAAACTAGGAGGATTAAGTATGTGGGGGACGGGAGAGAAGGGTAAAGGAGGAATATGGAGAGCAGCAGCTAAGACGAAAGGTCACTTGAAAAACCATAGAAAAACATACTGCTGAGAAGCTTCCTAAAATACACACAGACATAAATGGAATCTAATTGGAGTCACCAAATAATAGCAATGCCCCAACTAGACATCTTATGCCACCAAGTAAAATCCCCAGTGCCGGGAGTTTTTGTTTTTATTTTGTTGAGTCATTGGCTGAAGGGCCCTTTGGAAACCCCCAAACACCGGAGGTCATCGCCAAGGCTATTGGTTCTCTCCATAAATTGATGGTGCCGCTCTCCTGCTGAAGATGCTACTTATTTGTGCCATCAAACAGGAGAGATGGGGCTGGCGCCTAACCGGAAGCTTCTCCTCTACTGACTAGCATTCATGATACTAGAAGGTATTCTTTTGTTGTTGTTGTTTTGGTTTGGTTTGGTTTTTTTGAGACAGGGTTTCTCTGTGTAGTCCTGGCTGTCCTGGAATTCGCTCTGTAGATCAGGCTGGCCTCAAACTCACCTCTGCCTCCCGGGTGTTGAGATTAAAGGTGTGTGCCACCACCGCCCGACCCTAGAAAGTATTCTTAATGTCCCCCAGCTACAAGCCCTACAACCTACACCAGTGACCTGCCTGTAAGTGGAAACAACAGAGGCACAACTTCATGGAAGTAGCCAGCCACTCTCTGATGGGATTTAAGGGCCACTCTGGGAGACACTGCCGAAGCGGAGAAGAAGCTCCAATTAGACAGACAGGTCGTGGGCCTACGGGGAAGCCTGAGACTATTCTGCTAAGGGAACACAGTGGTAAATGGCTTCCAATGAGACATTGCTGTGCTCCTAGATCGGGTCACCACGCAGGTTGCACAAGAGGATCTTCTTCTTGCAGAAGATGGGAATTAAGTCTATGCATTCACTAGCAGATTCTGAAGACAGTAGCACATTCTGAAGACAGTGAACAGAGTAGCCGATGGCATCACTTTTATATACAAGCATTCTTTGTTCTTGATATAAGTAGAGGAAGATAACTTTGAGGGGACTCAGACAGTGATGGTGAGATTGGAGTTAAGTGACCTTTCTATAGAGGCTATTTCATTTTAAGGCCCTCATACATATGTACAAATTATTCTTTGTTTCACTAAATTCTTATTTTAAATAAAAAGGATTTATATACTAAAAAAAAAAAGATGGGAATTAACAGAGACCCTCAGCTGGACCAAGAGCGGAAAGTTAGACTTCAGAGCACTCAGTCTGAAGTGGGATGTCTTCATCGAACTCCTCCCCAAGTTCCCGGGGTCGAGGCTGAAGACGTACAAAGATTCCAAGAGGAAACCTGTCTTCCAGGCACAACAGGACCGGTGCCTGTATGAACTCATGGAGACCAGACCACGGCAGCACACCCAAGACCCACAGGTTCAAGCCAGATGCTACCTGTCCCAGGACTGAGACGGGGAAGAGGACACAGGCTCCCACCCCCAGCCAGGAAGTTATCTGCCAATGATAGCAGCTGGAAGAGGAAAATCAGTTTCCCCAACAGACACCTCAGGGCAAGACCCACGTCCAGGAATGGTTGACTAATGGCAAAATAAACACAGTGGTATTTTTGTGGGCTTTTTGTTTAATTATGCTTTGTTTGGGCTCTTTGTTATGTTATTGGTATTTTGCTTGTTTGTTTTGATTTACATTTTTGTATATGTGGGTTGCTGCTTCTTTCCCTTTTTTTGGTCTTTTTTTTTCTCTTTGTTTTTTTTGTTTTTTGTTTTTTCTTTCTTTTCGGGTTGTTTTGTTTTTGTTTTTCAAGATGGGTTTTTCTATGTAACAGTTCTGGATGTCCTGGATCTCACATTTTAGACCAGGCTGGCCTTGGATTTACAGAGATCCTCCTGCCTCTGCCTCCTGAGTGCTGAGATTAAAGCCCTTCGCCACCACCGCCAGCTGTTTTGACTTTTTTTGAAAGAGAGAAAGAATAGAAAGTTGGGTAGGTAGGGAGGCAGGGAGGATCTGAGAGGATTTAGGGGAGAAGAAACATGATCAAAATTTATTTCATGAAAAATATTTCCAACTAAAAAAAGAAAATGGGGTTGGGAATCAGAATAACAGCTCAATGGTTAAACACACGGGCTGTACTTACAGAGGACCACAGTAAGTTACGGGTGCCTCAAAATCATTAGTATCTCCAGCTCGAGTAATTCAGCATCTTCAAGCTTCTGAGGGCGTGCATGCGTGCGCGCATAAACACAATGCGTATGTTACACATAAATAAAACAAATTAAATAAGATATGTCTGGGACTGTAACCTGGTAGTATTGTGCTCATCTAACATGGGCAAAACTCTAGTTTGACACACCCCCCCCAGCACTGAAAGAAAACAAAAACACTAAAAATAATTTCTGGGTCTCCATTTCCATTTCTTTAGCTGAAATTATTCAAGAGGTATTCGACAAACAGTAAATATTACCTGACAGAATGACTGTCTCCATGAGAGCCTATTAGGTATGAAGTGTGGATTTGACCTTCAGAGGGCTAAATCTTGTAAGACACAACTGTTTTACACTATAAATCATTCACAAGAAATGATAAGCAATGTGCCTGTCTACAAATGAGGAAGTAAGAGTTGCAGCTTGTATGCTCTACAGGTTTTCATGACATTGCTGCTCCGAGGAAGGGCTGGGAGCTAGGATGCTGGGTGTTCACAGTCAGGAACTTTCGGTGCAGGGAGAAAGACCATTAGCCAGTACTAAACAGGTAGCTGACCACCACGGGGGCTGACGCTACCACAGGACAGCGTGCGGCATACCTCTGATAGGGGTATCAGATCTCGATGGTTCTTTCCTCCAGGACGGGACAAAAACTTTGATGTAGGTGTGTCCTCTGTCCCTGAACCAGTCCACAGCCAGACGAATTCCCCGGCAAGAGAAGGCTTCCTTATTTCCATGGCTACAATGGAAGACAAAGAAATCTGAGGAGAAACAAAAAGGGACTTTCTCTGGAAGCATTCTGGGTCACAGTCTAAACCTGATAGGGAAATGGGCAAAGAGGATCTTAAACAAGGTCCGTTCTTCCCACAGACCACAGTAGCAGGCAGCTTTTGAGGAGAACACAGAGGTACTCAGGCTCCTTTGGGTGGGAGGGGACAGATTTCAAGGGAAGCTATTAAGAGCCAACATCGAAGAAAAAAAATAAAAAGAATCGTGAAATACACAAGATCAGCCATCTGCAGAATTGCACTCCCTTTGAGAGATGATGGCACCGGCTCTACCAAGATTCCCAAGTTCAAACAAGGGACCAGTGCTCCACAAATCCCACAGAACACATCAATGCCACAGAAAAAGAAGGGCTGTGTGAGACCTTGATGCATCTTTTAGGCCTCTTAAAAATCATCATCTTAGCCAGGCACCGTGGTATACATCTTTAATCCCAGCATTTAGGAGGCAGAGGAATGTAATCTCTGTGAGTTCCGGGTCAGCCTGGACTACACAATGACTTCCAGGCCAGCCAGGGATACACAGTGAGGCTCTGTCCCAAGGGAAAAAAAATTATCTTCCTCAAGTAGGGGGTGATGGCATATTCCTTTAATCCTTGTGTCTTGGAGGTAGAAACAGGAGGATCAAAAGTCTAAGGTCATCCTTGGCTATACATTGAGGCTAGCCTGAGCTACATAAGACCTTGCTATGGAAGAAAGGGTGTGGGGGTTTATCTTCCTGCATCTTAGGAGGGCTGAGAAATGCAGATATGAGAATATGGCGGACACCCATGTGTGGCTCACAGAGCTCAGCTGACCCACAGAGAAGGGTGAGTCGGGCAGGAGGCGTGAGACAAGAAGCTGTGGGGTCATCAAACAGGAGTCAGTGGTCAGGTGTGAGCTGCTGCGGCTGAGTAAGCGAGAACAGAAAGTGGATTTGGGGGACATTTAGAAAGTGCCAGAACTCAGGAAGTGACTGAGAAGAAGGTATCAGGCTCTTCCAGGTTCCTTGTGGGCCGTGCACGGACAGGGACTCTGGAAGAGCTCTCTGAGTGGAGGGAAAGAGCCAGTCATAAGTTTGGCATTGGATATAAGTCTTGTGACTATAAAGTCGACATGTTAAGTGAATAGCAAGGGGTCAGAGGGGAGGGCTGAGTAGTAAAGGTTGTAGGTCACCCTTGCTTAACCCAGAGTTGAAACCGCAGTGTGGACAGAATCGCTGGATTGCCAGAGAGGAAGTTAGAGGTCGTAAACTTGACCTGGAATGAGTTTGGGATGCAGTCTCTGGTTTTAGGCAAGGGGAGGGGGTCTCTTACAAAAGAGATAGAAGGGATCTCTCCAGGGGACAGGAAGACAAACAGCCAGGGGTGCTGCTGTCTGGAAGCCAGGGAAAGAGGCAGCTAAGTGCCCTCTGGGGGACTGGGCTTGGGCTGGGTCAATCCAGGTCACTGGTGCTGGAGACAGAGACAAGTGGACGGATCTGGGACAGGGTGAAGGCAAAATCAACAGGCTGAGCCATGGATGTGGCAGAGCCGGACCTCCAGATGAGATCATTTTCTGCTCCCGCTTCTCCAGTCTGTTTTCCTCCAGCTGTGTAATCAACCACGCACCTTGCTGGATGCCATCAGTGAGTCTTTGCCGCAGCTATCCCTGCCCTGTCACGGGATTCACTCCTCTTCCTTCTCCTCCAGTTCTCTGCTAAATCCTTGCTTCCTCAGGAAGCAGCCCTTGACTTATTAGGCTCCCTCGCACAGATGCTTCCTAGCATTTAAGAACATTTACCCAGCCAGACCCACTGATGCACACTTGTAATCTCAGCACTCAGAAGGCTGAGGCCGAAGAATTGCCTGGAGTTGGGAGGTAGACTGGCTGCTTACATAGCAAGCTCTTGTCAAAACAGAAAACAAAATAAGCCACAACAACACACACGCACGTGCAAACACACACATGCACATACAAACCCCAAAAGACTCCGCATGACCACCAAGATTCCAAGGACTAACCATGGTCCCTGATTATTGGTGAAGGCTTAGTAAAAACTTGTTGAGTAGCTGCATGACTGAAAAGCTACCTGCCTTGGCCTCCTTGCCAGCAGGAAGAAAAACAATACAGGCAAAAGGGGAGGGTTGCCTGGAAAGACCTACAGTCCTATTTTGGGGACCGAAGGTACAGCAATGTGACCACAAATCACAGAATAAATACAAGAGACAATGAGACTAGACAGGTTCATCTCCCACCCCCCAAAGGTGGGAGCATGTATACACAAGAGAGGGTACTAGAGGAGGCCAGAGGCGTCATGTCCGTCTAGAGCCGGCGTTGACAGGTGCTTGTGAGCTGCCTGACCTGGGACCTGAACGAGTGTCCTCTGAAAGATTCTGAATGGCTGAACCCTGAACTCTAAACTCCAGCCCTGAGACAAGTTCCCAGAAGCCTGGCTAGAAGCAGCCAGCTCACACCCTGGAACAGACCACACTGAGTTCCCCTTGCTGTGCTGACTCTGTCCTGTGATTGTCCCTGCTGTTTTCTTGGGACGGAGATAGACACAGGTTTCCAGACTGAGAGCAGGAGTCCAGGGAAGCAAGGAACCTGTGGAACTTGGAGTGGGTATAAACTGCCTCTGGGAGCTCCTTCAGCTTTGGTAACCATGAGGATCGTGGCTGCACAGGCTGGCATTTTTTTTCTCTTCGGCCTCAGAGGCTGCTCTGGGAGCCTTGTGCAAACAGCAGGAAGAAGGTGGCAGCCATACACAGTGGGGAAGGAGGGGGAAGCGGAACATGAACCCCTCCCACACACGCATACAGGTTGAAAGAAGAGGGGAAAGAGGTGAGGGAGTCATTCTCAGGGCCGGTCCTGGCCCCTCCTTCTTCTGAAAAGCCCTGGGAGTAGCAGAGACACAGAAACTTTGCCTCAAACAAGACGCTGAAGCCTTGTGACCCAGCACGTCTGGGCAGGCTGCACACCCTCAGAAAAATTCTGGCCTGCAGGCTGCATGGTTTGGAAGTGTCTCATAGGGGTGCAGGAAACATCTCCCTAGACCTCTTACAGGCCCTAAGCCTGGTGTTGTCAGAGCCCTACAGACGGAACAGGTCCCTGCTGGAGGACACTATTTTAAGCAGGCATAGCTACCAAAAGAAAAAGCCAAATGACACCCCTGCCACAAGCCTTAGAAGCTCTTTTTCCCCAAAACACTGAGCCTCACTTGGTCCCACAGTGATCAACCAGGCTTCCTAAGACAGCACAGGCCACCTCTGCAGTGAGAACAGAATGAAGAGACTCGCCCTAGGGAAAGTTGTCTAATAAACACCAGACTGTCCCCTTCGGTGACGACAGTGATTAAAAGATGTAGTCACCTCTTAGAATGACCCTGCAGTCTGGAGCTGAAACAGGGGACCACACCTTGACCAGGACAGCCTAATTATGGACACCTCTTCCTCCTTGCTCCAACTCTTCCTTTATTTAAACCTAAAATTCATGTCAGTACCCCGAGCTTGGGGGTCCCTGGACCCCTTTATCTGTCCCTCTTCTCAGTGCACACTAGTTAAGCCTCTGGTCTCTGCTTTCCCCATTCCTCGTCTCTTTAACTAGCATGTTGGGACAGGCAGTAGGGGCTTACCTGTTGGGGCTGCTGAAGCCCCAGCTGTTGACCTAAAATTCTTGCTACAATCCCAATTCACCAGGACACGCTTGTAGCCCAAGCCCCCCTGTCCCAGCTATCACAGGGGAACTCGATGTCTCCAGTAGCTGTTGGGAAAGGAGTCAGGCTAGGGATGGAAGACAGAGCCCGATCATCCAGAAAGTTAGACAGGGAGAAAACACCATAAGGTACAGGCAAAAGTCATCAGCCCCTCCTAAAAACTGAGGGGACACAGAACTGCGAAGGACGGACACACCTCTTCCACCTCCCCTCCCTCAGGCCTGCACAGCTCCTGCCCTGCAGCCATCCGTCCCCAGTCAGTTCTCAAGCAAAATGGTCCCTAGCACAGTTACTCTGAGCACTATTTAATTGCTCTGTCTCCTGGGACTCTCGTGTATCTGTCATAATCACTCACAACCACGCAGCACTTCCGTGTCTCTGTTGAACTGGAGGGCAAAGACTTAAAGACAGGTGCAAGAGGCAATCTGCTTTTGTAACCTAGAACTCTCTAGTCGGAATGAGTTTTGATGCGTGTAGCGTAGACCGGCGGCTTGAAGTGATGACAGTCGTGGTCATACAATTGGTTCTGCAAACAGTTAGCAAAAAGAAACAAGCAAGCTTTCTCTCCAGGATCTTTTGATGGGTGTGGGGTTGGGTGGCGGGGATATTCAGTAGGAGGGAGAAAGAGGGAAACTGAGTCTCAGTAGAGTTCCAGTCAGGAGGTGACAGTCATCTCGGGTCCCTTTCCAGGAGAGAAGGATCCATCTGGGCATCTGTCCCTGTCTTTGCACCAACTTACGAACTCCTACTGCACCAGGACTGTGCTGGGGGCTAAGATGCCAACCAGGCATGCTCCTGTAATCCTGGCACTCGGGAGGTTAAACAGTATGGTAAGCTTGAAGCTAGCCTTGGCTAATGGTGAGTTTCAGGCTAGCCCAGACTACAAAGTTCTTTTCTCAAAATATTCAAAGCACAGGACCTAAGGACAGAACTCAGTTGGCACCGTGTTTGTCCAGCATGCCCAAGCCCTGGCATCTGATAAGTCAGGCTTGCTGGTGCGTGCCTACAATCTCAGCACTCAGGAAGTTGGAGTAGGAAAATCAGGAGATCAAGATCATCTTTGACTACATTGTGAGTTTGGGGATAGCCTGGTCTTTGTAAGACCCTGTCTTGAACTCTTTGGGGGGAAATGGGTACTGTCATTTTATTAACTGTAGAGAGTTCTGTTTGCTAGGTGAGGGGGGCTCATTTCCTCATTACATTACACCCATAAAGAAATGACTTTCACCCCCATTTTACCTTTACCAAAGCAAAGAAACATGCCCAGTTCCCAGATCTGGT